GGCACAGACTCCATCCTGCTCTGAATTATCCCCTGCTGCCAGAAGAGACAGCCAAAGCTCCCTGCTGCAGCCCTGTGCCACTCCCTATGGATAATCTGGTTGCAGAGTGAGGTGAAAGGGGAAGAAAAACAGAGCAGCAAATTATGCCAGGAGGAAAGCTTTGTTATATTTATAAGGCAGCTGGGTTAGGAGCCAGGGAGTGAGATGCTTATGTAGTAATGGAATAAATTCTATAAACGTAGTTTAGAATGGATGGGAGGATGCAAGCAATTAATTTGTTTTATTATTTTTAATTTTGGCCTTATATTCAAGTGTAAAATATTTTATATGCACAAATGCAAGAATATGCAGACTGAAAGTAAAAAAATATATATGTATTTTCATATTACTGGAAGAGGTTAGAGGTTTATTGCTGGAAAATCGCTAGGGGAAGTGATTTTTTTGAAGCAAAAAGATGCAGACCATGTCTCTCTAAGATCAAGGACTGTGTTAAGACAGCAGGCAGAGAAACATCAGGAAAATAAATAAGGCACAGAATTGCATGCAAGAAAACAGCAAACAAAACCATAAATTTGTGGACAAGGGTAATGAGAATAGCAGCTACTGGGAATAAAATGCCTATGTGTGTGGATGAGGTCAAAACTCTGAAAAGGATTTCTAGAAGAGGAAGAAACCATTCAGCTTTTGTACATGGCATTTTTAATAGATCGAGAGAAGGAAAAAACACATAGATACTGGATGGGGCAAAGACCTGAAGACTATAAAATTACAAACTACTTTGGATCAGCTCTCCAGCATAAGGTGGGAAAGACCCACATCTCCATAAAACTGGAGATGTCTGACCACTGTGTCTCCAGTGGGGACAAACTCCTCACTGCTCCGTGCCTTTGTGAGGTTTAATGAATGGGGGCAGGCAGAGATGGGATGCAGTGAGCCGGGTAGGGACTGTGCCAAGGCTTACTTGTCAAGTCATATTTGCCACAGTGCTGCAGGGTTGGAGCTTGAGGGTGTCTGGGACAGACTGGGGTGTGGAGGCACTTGCCAAAGCCCCCTGGGCTGGTGAGCCCTTGGATCAGCCTGCCTGGATATGAGGAGGGGGCAAGGTGGCTGCTGCTGGTGCACTCCTGCTTGGGGCACAGGGGTTGCATCAGGGAGCAAATTGGCTCCAGAGCTGGCATAAGTGAATTGCAAGTGTCATTGGTTTTAAAAAGTTTTGGTTGATTTGGTTGTGTTTCTTTTTTTGGTTTTTTGGTTTTTTTTTTGGCTTAGGTTTCCAAGAGCTGCACTAGTGTTGTTGACTTTCCCAGTTGATAGTTAATGACATGGGGACGGGAGGAAAATGAATCACTGAGGCTACAGGAGAATTTATTTTCAGGAGAACAATAATGCCATATATCAACAAGAAGTTTTTTCTGTCACTTGGTAACTCATTGGCCATGAGGCACCATCTTCGGATCTTTGTAGACTGAGAGCAATGGCTTGTCTACACCTGAGTTAACAGAAGATAAAAAAAAGCTCCATGATTCTTGTATGATAGTCATAGAAAGAGTCCTATAGAGATGAATGGTAGTTGGATTGAGGCCAAAGCCATCACATGCCTCTTTGTAGTAGTTGCATAAACAGAGGATGAGTAGATAATTTCCCGCTCTCTTCTGCTCTTGTCTAAGATCTGTCTTGTCATAGATAATTATAAATCAAAAATAATGAACTTCCCCTTTAATACATTTGAAGCTTTGGCATGAAGCGATGTAAACAAGTTCTGAAGTCTAGTATATGGGAGCATTAAACCTAATTATTAATAGATAAATAACTTCATCAAAAACTGAGGGAGGAGTTTGGGGCTGGTAGTATTTTATGCTAACATGTATATCCATAAATAGTAATAACTTGAGGATCCTGTGACTAGTCTTGTGTTCACAGAACAGATGCACTGTGTGGATAAATAAATAAAACAGAGAGGAGCTAGTTATTGTGCTGCCTGCCTGGACCTTTGAGTCCTCCCCCAGACCTCAGCTCTTCCTGCGCTCCTGGAATGCACAAGGATAATACTCCGATTCATGCCTCCTTCTGGTCTGTGCTTTCAGTTCAGTGATTTGGCTCCAGTGAGGTAACACAAGGATCTGGCCTTTTCAGACTATGGTCTTTTATGAGTGGACAAGTTCTGCTCTTACATTTTCGAGTTGTCCTATAGAGCTGTTCACAAAACTGAAAACTGGAAAGAAGTATCTATGGTTAAATTACGTGTTAGCAGTACAGTTAACCTTAGTATTTTAATTTCAGCAAAGAGGCCTTTCATTGTTCATGTGTTTTCTAAAAATAAAACTCTTCTTTGAATCCGCCTAATGCATGGCTGTACAAATCCTTGGTTTTCCTCTAGGGTTATAAACTCCTTATTATACATCCACTTCATTATTTCTCCTCCATTACCCCTTTTATCTGCATACTCTAGTGGTCACAGCTCCCCAGGCAGGGCAGCTCATTGCACCTTTACCATTGCTATTGTACCCCTGTAGCAATTGTGCAATGCTGTTGTACCCCTGTAGCATTGTCATCCAAACTCTGGATGAGCCACCTTCAGAAGGATTTCCACTTCAGTATTCCATGAGTCCTATTTTCCCTCTGAATAAAGACAGACCTTTGATAGGTCTGTATAGTGACTGAAAGAAACAAGATTTTTGAAATAAACCTGCTCAGGGAAGTTGCTCTGTGATTGTTGTGCTTTAACTTCCTATATGAACGTCATACAGCCTAGTGGAAAAGAAGTATTTATTTTCCCCAAAGAAAATGCTTCTATTTATTCCAGGCAGTAAAAAGATTATATCTTTTTGTTCTTTCTTAAAACTGCCCCTGGTTTTGCTATAAAATCTTATTAGGAATTATTTAAGTTAATATACTCAGAAAGTGAATGCTGCAGTTAAAGAATCAGGCTCAGCCTTGCAGTCTGTACTGGAGGGAATTCTTTCTTGAGGAAAATGGTAAAAATACGAACTGTATATATAATTTTCAGTGCCTTCACAAGAATATTCTTGTATATTGGGCTGGTCTGCATGACTAGTGAGGCAGAAAAGGTCAGGCTGAAGATTACCCAGCTCCCGCGTGCTGGGGGAGTGAAAACCACAAGTTGCCATGTACGTGGGCTGTGGGTGATCCCCTGGTGGGAAGTTTTCCTCTGTGGCGCTGTGGCACCGAGCACCTCATGCCCCGGGCTGGCCGCGCTTGCAGCAGCCCCACAGCGAAGGGCAGCGCTGCTCCCCGCAGTGCTGAGCGCCCCTTGCCTTCTCTCGGTTGCTCGGACCCCGGGCCAAACCCTGGGGGACAAAGCGGGTGATCCAGGGTGGGAAGAACAGCCCTCTGTCCTGTGCCTGTGCTGCAGGCACTGCCGCCAGGGCAAGCTGCCCCGGCCCCGGGCTGCCCCCCTCGGTCCCAGAGTCAGGGCTCCGTGCAGGAGATGCATTTCTGCGCTGCAGGTCAGGGCTGCCTCCTGCGGGTGGCAGTCACAGCAGCGTTTCGCACCGCAGCTGCATGCATCCAGGCAGAGCAGAGTGGGGTACGAGCCGAGGTACGGCTGGGAGAGGCCCCAGCAAACCAAAAATGCTCCCTTACTGAGAGCTGGGCACCCAAAAATGCTCCCTTACTGAGAGCTGGGCGAGATTCCAGCCGCCGTCTGGAAAGACGCTGCTTTGGTCCATAATTCACCTGTTTATAGTGGTTCACTGGACTTGTGAGATCCTGCTCAAAATGAGGCCAGAGAACTGATCCAGTACAAAACCAGACCTGGAACAACCTCATTGGAAGGGAATGGGAGTCTTCAGCTGGTGCTGCCCTTTGCTGTGGTGTCAGACCATGCTGCTGCTATTTTCTTGTCACTGATGAATATCAGAAAGTACAACTTCAACCATTCTTAAAGCTAAAACAGAAAGTGCTTGGGATGTATTACCATGTTTGTTGCTGATAATGTTGGTGCAGGATGTGTCCTTTGCTCTCCCCTCAAAACCCCTGCTAATCCAGGTCTCCCACGACCCCTTCCAGCCTTCTTTTAGTCCATGTTTGAGGAGCCCCTGACCCTCTGTGGGTCAGCATGATGGTGCTAGGAGGGGAGAGAGGGGCAAGAGCCAGTGTCTGGGGACAGGAGGGTAACTCTGTTACTCCTTAAGGTGTCACAGCTTTCTGGGACTTCATAGTCAAGTCCTCTTTTGCACCTCCCTTGAGAACTAGACAGGCATGGTCCCAAAATGCAGATTTCTAAGGCTGTACCATAGACATGTGTCTTGCTGATGTGCTGTCTAGGAAAGAGAGAGAGAGAGAGAGAGAGGTGACTTGTTTCTGCCTGGTCATTGCTATGATGCTCTCGTATTGAGGTGTTTGAACATTAAGAGCATTAAACAGAATAAACACTGTCTCAAGCATTCTGGACACTCCCAGGCCATTATACACATCTCTAGTGAAATTGTCTGAGGCAAAAATAGATGAAAGTAATGCTGTACTTTATTAATATTTTCTAATTCTCTAGTTGGAAATATGTGTCTCTTTTTAATCTTTTTTCTTCCTTTTCCCTTAAATCCACTGAAAATTGCTTTAGCGGATCTATCAGCTTGGAGACTCCCATTTGACTGTTTTAACTCAAATAACCTGAGAATTGATTGATCATTAAAGAAAGATGGCAACAGTCACCCAAGGACAACTCATAGGAGTAATTCACTACATTCCCTGGAGTCGGAATTGATCCATTGATATAAACAATCTGAAATATCCCAACATCCCAACAAAAATATAATTAAATATAAATTTATCTCTTTTTTCTTTTTTCTTTTTTTTTTTTGGCTTTGCCTGAATTTTAGAGAGCTGACAAGAGTAAGATATCCAAGTACCACATCCAGCTGTGCACATCTTCTCAGGCCTGAGTAGCTGTGGCATCAATAACAAGTAATTAGCATCCATAGACTTGAGTGGATTAGCAGGACTATGGAAAAAACAGAACCTGTAGACACGAAAATCTTTATTATCACAAGCTGTTTAAAATCTCAAACTCTTATATACAATTAAGTAATATTGTGTCTTTCAAATATTTGCATTAGAAAATAATTTGAAACAGCTATTTGATAAAACAGTTGAATATACAGCAGTCTCACATCAGAAAGGTAACAAAAGTTTGATTTAGGGTACCCCAATGAGTTTGGAATTACAAAAAAAAATTTTTTTTTTAATCTCAGACCAAGAGTTATCTACAAATCTATAACTTATGATTATGTGGAAACTAAAAGAATGTTCCTTTTTGCTGAGGTTAATGTTAGGGCTATGTGCTTTACAAGTGCAGGACTCTTATTGAATTAATTAGCTGCTGGTAATATCAGCAACCTTATGTTTGTAACTTTATGGAGGACTTATTTCTATTTCATTAAGATACTGATTTTTAGCATGTCTAGGAGAGGTGTTGATTCTTAATTCCCCTTCTTATTACCTATGTATAGGTAATAAGACAAATCAGACAAATCCTCCTTTGGATCTATAGCTTTTCTGCAGGACAAAAAGGCCTCACACTGTAAATGAGATGTCAAATTATCTGGAAGTGCTGGATAACTACTGAAATTATTGAAGAAAATGGAAGAAGAGGTAGCATTTCCTTAGGGATCATCACATTTGTGAAGCATTTTAGAACAATATGTAGTGGGAGATGCTTCCTGTTTCCATTCTTTTTCTCATTTTCTGCTGGGGGATGATAAATTATCAGTTACTTGTAGATGTTGCAAGGTGATGATGAGATGGGTTGGCTCAGATCAGGCTAATGATGAGGATGTTACCACAGAGGCTTAAATACTCTGTAGTGCATGCTGATAAAATAATTCTGAGAGTTTGCTGCTATCTTATCTGCTGTCTGGCTGCTCTCCTTTTTATTTTGTGGGTTAGAGGACCTGACTGTGTGAATGATTTAGGAAAAATGAAGGTGCATCAACAGAAGGTGTACAGTTAATACTAGTGAACTGGAATATTATGTTTTGGCTGTATTAATGTAATTGTGAAATGGCCTAAATCCCCTGTAATTCAATCCACCCACGAAATTAAAGTACTGAGGCAAAACTGTGCAAAAGGAAATGACCAGGAGTGGGTGAAAAGTGTAAAACAAACAGGAGAGCAAGGGCACGTGGGCAAGCAGAAGGGGGAAATACCAAATGGGGTGAGGGAGGAGAGGGGCTAAAGCAGAGCCCATGGTGCAGCTGCATCCCTGAACCTGGGCTGTCAGTGAGAGAGCAGGTGTTGGGCAGTGGCTGTGGCAAATGCAGACCTCAGTGTGAAAGTGATGATCAAAGAGAGACCAGTGGGGTGGAACAGAGCAATGCAGAGCTGGGCTGGGGAATCAGATAAATGAGGGATCCCTTCCATAGTTTAGGGCTAGGGGAAGAAAAAGAGTGATGTATAAATGTTCAGGAAAAAGAGAAATAATAAAAATTTTATTTGTCTAGTGCTGAGGGAATCTATTAGAAATATCCATAACTATACTGAAATGCAAATTGCTTCACCCTCGGTCTGTTTCACACAAGGAGGACAGGACCTAATGACAGGTGAGATTTGATGGAATGGCACATTTTTCAATAGTAACGCAGCATATATTAAGTTTGGACTTTTAAAAATCAGCAGATAGAGAAAATTTCTGTCAGAATTGGCCAAGGAAGTGCCCAAAGCATTGTTTTGTATTTTAAAATGCTGAGGAAAGTTCCTGAAGAGGCAAATAAATTCTCTAGCATGCCAGAATTTAGAGAGGCAAAGTGACATGAATAATTATAAACCTTGAACCAAGACATTAGTTCTGGACAAAATTGATTTTAAAGCTTTATATAGAGATTGATCACTGATGAACACTGGAATAAGAATAAATGCTTAATGGCATAAGTTTACAGAAAATACATTCTCTCAAGGTAAACTTGAAAAATAAAATATATAAGTGAAATATAATCTCTGAGAAACTTATTTGGAACTGTACAGCCTTCTGTCTGGGAGAAGGACCATCTAGAATTAACATTAACCCCAAAACCATCAACATCCACAGCACAGTCTCTTTTCAAATGCCACAGCAAACTGAGTTGGTGCATTGCACTAATATCACTGTGTGGCTTGGGCAGGGTGGTGGGTCACCAATGTGCCAGAACTAGGTTAAGCCATACAATGTCACCTTTGGTTCATTTTCAAAAGAAAAAAAAAAAAAGAAAAAAAAAGAAAAAAAAAAAAGGCAAGGACTCCTATTCTTCATATTCTACATGTCCAGCTGTGCTTCAGGGAGAAGGCAGCAGCTGGGCATTGATGTGAACTGCTGGGTCCCACTGACTGCCCTCCAACCACACAGCTGGTAATGATCTTAATATACAGCCTTTTATCTTGTACCATTAAAAAAACCCCAGTCTCTCTGTTTTGGGCATCTTCAGGTTACTGCTTTGCAAATTGTAGGACACCTGAGCAAAACAGCTTTGTCTGTTGGAAAGAAGTAGCTAACAAAACTGCTACAAGAAAATATCTACTCCAATTTTTAAAATTTTCTAAATTTCAGTCTTTCACTTTCTCTTCCCCTGTGACTGCATTCTTTTAAAGCAATATTCTACATGATGGGTTTACTGTCAGGAAATAGTGGAAATGTTTAAAAAAAATTGTGAAAAATGAACTTAGAACACTTCTTTCAAAGTTAAAAATCATCCAAACAGGAAAAATTTGTTTACCATCACTCATTTACTAAACCCAATTTGTGCAATAAATTGTTTTGGAACAGTGAAGAAATTTTTATTCTTTGAGGAAATTACTAATCAAGTGAAATTCAATAATGAATGAATATGGTTAGCTCTAAACATTTTTTCCTTCTGTATTTTGACTTGTCTTTAATTATTAACAAAGCTGAACCATTCTCTGTATTTGTCAGCTGTTAGTGATACTTAGATGCCATCACAGAGGCTTGGGGCATTTGTTTTCTCTCTTTAATCAAGCTATGTATGGTAACTTATTAGGGAATTATTTGCAGGCAAAAAAACCTGATCACATTAAACATCTATTCAGTGGGAAGGCATTATATATTTAAATAGAATATGAGGATATAAGATATGGTAGGATATGAAACTGCTATTTTAAATAAGGCAAGAGAAACTTTGGCCAGACAAGGATCCATTTTTATGTGTGTTACATATTTAAGCTACGTCCCTCAGGACACGCTATCTAAAATCCATGGACACAGTTACAGCATTCATATTCCCACCTTGAGGTATCCCAGGAGACTGATTTTTTGTCATTGTAACTAAAAGTGACTGGGCACACTTAGAAGTCCTTGTCTTTCAGATATTGCAGGCTCAGTATTTAAAAACAGAAGCAGCAGAAAACCTCCTGTATCTGAAAACCTTGACCAAGTAGTTATGCATAACAGATGCTTATCTAAATCTGTATTTAAGGTGAATGCTGAATTGCTCCATTTTTCAACCTCACTCATAAAAAAAAAGAAAAAAAAAAGAAAAGAGATGTTTTTAAGTTGAATATTCCTGAAGTAGATGGTTAGAGAACAGCCCTGGGCAGGGAGAAAAGTTACACAGGGAGAGCTAGCCCAGGGCGCTCATCTGTGGAGATAACAAACTGAAAGGCAATCTCAAAATAATATCTGTCGCTTCTGCAGGTCCTTTAATCTGAAAACCAAAAAGCTTTCTACAGAGTCTGTGCCCTGGCTGGGCTGCAGTCTCTTCTGGCTATTCCTTTGAGAGGCTTTTCAGCTGCTGTTTGTCCAGAGTTGTCTGTCAGTCCTAGCCTGGTACCTTCCCAACAGCAGTCCTGTGCAAATCAGTGCACTGTTCACAAAAAGCAAATTGACAAATAAACATTGCATAGGCACAAGCTTCACATCCACCAAACCAGGGCAATCCAGAATTATGGACACTGAAACAAACACTCACAAAACCAAACAAAAACAAAGAAACCCACCAAACCTGGAACAGAATTGGTTTTAAGTGCTGCACAATACACAACTGCAGAACTAGACAGAAATGGACTAGCAGGAGTGAAATAGGGGTTTCTCTTGATTTGTGGTGAATCTCATTGCAAAAAGAACTTAAATAATTCCTTAATCTTCCTACAGTGCTTTTCTTTTTTCTTTTCTTTTTTTTTTCCCCTTCTTTTCCTTTTCTTCTTTTCCCTTGGTGATGTTTCCTTTCTGAAGACCATATAAAGCAGGACACAACAAAAGAATTTGCTTCTCTGGTCTTTTGAGATGAATTATATTTAAAAACAGTTCTTCCAATATCTGGGGAATGATGAGCTTGTGTGCTGCATCCGTTTAGCCAGTTCTTTGCTGTCCTGAGGACTTCATGATTCACCATCACTGTGTACACATGGAAGAGAAAAAAACACCAGTGTCACGCTGTTGGGTTAGTTGTCTCAGCACAAAATAACATGCAAGAGTATCTCTAGAGTTCATGAGAAGGTGTTACCAGAAAACAAATCTGTCACTCATGTAATGGATGAACTGATGCTGGCAGCAAGGGCTGCTCTGCTTCCTGTCTGATGGTTCATGGCTGCCCAGCACAGCCCTTCTCCTGCTGCTGGCTCTCTTTCCTCAGCTGAGGATAACTTTGGAATTTTTGGTTCACAGCTGACCTCCTAACAGGTGCGTTTTCTCTTTGTCCCACTGGTTTCTGCCCAAGTGGCTTGCTCCCTAGCACTCTCTTAATAATGTTTGGCTCATAACAAAGTTAAAAAATGTAACATCTTACATGGTCTGATTTGAATTCAGTCAGCAGGGATAACAGCAGGGTTTTAAACCACCTCTGAAGCTAAAAGGGCCACTCATAATCTTAATATTTTCTCATAATCTTAATATTTTACATGTTTTCTTAAGTCTTAAGTCTTAAGTCTTTGAATGTTTTAGAGATAAATCTCCTATTTTTATTTGCATTTGTTTGCCTTTCTACAATTTAGAGGCATAAATTTCTCTAATCTAGTCTGATTCTAAGATACTATTTACAAGAAATTTGCTTAAATAATGCGTGTGCCTTTGCTCTGACTGAAGCATACTTATCTGAACAGGGTTGCTTTTTTTGTATCAAGGCTTAAGCCTCACTGTAGTGTTCTAAAATAACTCTGTTTTACAAGTGGGGAGCTTGAGGTAGGGTGTAGCCCAAAGATGCCTTTTGATAGCCAGGAGCAAAACCCCCTTCTTCTGATGAGGTTAATGCAAATCCAGTACAAAACCACTCCTTTAGCAAGGATGGTAAAATGTCAGCTCAAGCTGGTAAGCCATGATGGGGTTGTTTGGGTTTTTTTTTTCCCCTTACAATGAATTGTTAAAGATTTGGAAAGTAAACTTGATGCTGAGGGTGGTGTTGTGCCTAAAAAACCTTTTACAGTATGACTTCTGCCAGTGTTAGCCTATGGCTGAAGCATCCTTTGTGCTGTACTCCCTGCTATAGTCAGTGGTATGCTCAGCAAATCTGCTTTTAGAGAACTGCTGTGCAGCTGCCTCTCCTTAACAATTTTCCCCCCTCTGAGTTATCATTCAGCAGCAGGAAGGGAAGACCCAAATGGCTAACAAATCCAGGATCTTTTCCAGTTGCTAAGGGGAAAATTAATGTGCTTGCTTGCATCTGGAACCTAGAATCTAAGCTTTTAAAAAAAAAAAAAAAAAACAAAACTGAACTAAAACAACAACGTGCTTTTAGAGAACTGCTGTGCAGCTGCCTCTCCTTAACAATTTTCCCCCCTCTGAGTTATCATTCAGCAGCAGGAAGGGAAGACCCAAATGGCTAACAAATCCAGGATCTTTTCCAGTTGCTAAGGGGAAAATTAATGTGCTTGCTTGCATCTGGAACCTAGAATCTAAGCTTTTTTTTTTTAAAAAAAAAAACTGAACTAAAACAACAACGATGATTTCACTTGCAATAGGTGTAAAAAGAAACCTTTTCTTTACAAGTGTCTGTAGTGCACAAGCCCCATCCAAAGATTCCTCTGAAACTGCAGCTTTGGAGCAACTCAGCTGCAAAGTCGTGCAGCAGTGGTGATTTTACATCCCTATTTCACTCCTGAGCAAGGAAATTCAGGAAAAAATAGATTGGAATATAGTGACAGTCTACTGCAGAAGGTGCAATGCTGCCAGAGAGGCATAGTCAGTGGAATTATCTGATGCCATGGGAAGCAGACCTAGGTCCTCTCCCTGCTCCTGGCCTTGCCTGATTGCATCACTGCTTCCACTGCACCAGGGATTTCTTGGCACGCAGGGTGGCTTGTTTGTTATCATAACCTGGCACAGAGAAGCTGCTTTGCCCACTCCTCAAAATGCAGCTGCAACACAAGGGTGCAGGCAAGGGCAATGTACAGCCTCTTGTTTCCAGCTGGAAACAAGAACCAGAATTTTTAATTAGGGAAAATTGCAAAGGGTTTAGGAGTTCTGGCCAAAATCCTGAGGAAACCAACCAGAAAGATTTTAAGTTTACAAGCTGTCAGGATCATGGTTTTGCATCCCACTGGGATCTCTGCTTGGACTATCAACTAGTGCCAGCTCTGGGGGAGTGCTGCAAAGGGGCACGGAGAAGATCCTTTGTGTTTCTCATTCTCATTTTCTCGTTGGAGTCAGACAAGCCCCTGTCTGTCAGGTCACAGCTCCAGCCAAAACATCTGGCAGTGATTCCCGGGAACCTGTAGGCACCAGGTGGCAGAGGGGAACTGGGTGCCTTTGCTGAAGGGTGCCAAGGAAGCTAGGCTGAATGCTTGTATTAACACCTTGAGAAACTGTGATTAAAGTCTGATCAGTGAGTGAAACTCCATCTGTGCCATCTGGTTGTCTGTCTTGCACCACTTTACAACTGTAAGATTATTTAGCAGTGCGGTTTACAGGAAGAGACCTGTTTAGAAATAAGTGTCAAGCCTTTAGGTTAAGTTGAAGTCAAAGTTTCTACATAGAAAAATTTTAAAACTTAAATGGACCAAAGAATAATTCTATAATTATATACATACAAAAAATTATTTTAGAATGACACTGACCATATTTCTTCAAATAATAGAGTGAATTAAAGTACCTTGGGTTAGCAATTGATTCTTTTTCTTCTTCTCTTACAGTAGGTAAACATTCACAGTCACCTGGAAAAGGGTAAGAAACAAGACTATAGTTACTCTACTCTGGCAGTTGTTCTATATTTATTTCAAAAATGCATGAAGTTTTATCATGTAGTTATGCTAGAATACAGATCTGCAGATGCACTTCTGCACCCTTTTTATCTGCATGGTCCCCATAGCATGAATCTTACACCTCCTTCCCTTTGGTAGGTGTTGCCACAATTTATTTTATATGTTCCAGTTCTTTATGTACACCTATACAAATGAGCCACTTTTGAGCACTGTCTCCTACACACTGCCACAGGGAGAGTTGTTTGTTAATCTTCCACTGCTGACAGTGGCAACTATGATTTATAGTCCAGCTGGGGATCTTGGGCTGGAGTTTAGGGAACACTATAACGTGCACACACACACACACACACACATGAAAATATTTAAAATACTTGCTCCCTTCTCTCCACAAATTTTTAAAATATATTTCATGCCACTCTTTTCCCATGTAGTACAGTTAATGCCTCCCTTTCACTACTGCCACTTAACACATGTTTTCTGTAAAAGCTTTCAGGCCACAAAGGTCAAAACCCCATCATGTGGAGCACTGTGCTAATGCAAAGAAATGCTCCAAAGGGCTTTATGTCCTGAAAAACAAAGCATGCCTAGTAGGTCAGGCAAATGAGCCATTTGGATAGAAGGCAAGGGACCAGGAATGAAAAAAAATCAGTGCTTCAGCATTTCTTAATCAGTGAAAAGCTGTTCATGGTTCAAAATCAGGCCTTGGTTAACTCATGGCTTACTGAAGACCTGCATTTTTTGAGGAGACCCTGGAAGGATAATGCAGACCCCTTAGAGATTTTGACTGGGGAATTCACCTGGGAGAAAACTGGGAGGAAAAATGCAAGGTACTCATAAGTAACTGAGAAGGCAGCTGAAGATGCTGCTGCTGGTAGTTACCACATGTTCTAATTTCTCCATGTGCTGATAGCCTTGAAGGGAGGGGAAGGGCGTAATCATAGGCTCCTGGCAGCAATTTTAAATAAATGGTGGTCTGAACTACAAGCAAATGCATATTTCTTCTACAATACCTCAGTGTGGAGCACAAAAGTGTAGGAATTCTGGAGACTGAAAGGACTAAATGCTTCAGAGAAATTAGTATTTAGCATTAAAATGTGTATTTAAAAATATAAATAACATTCACAGCTATAAGTGTGTTTAATAGAAATGTCTACTGGAAACTGAAAACATTTATGAGATTCTATCACATATTAAAAATAAACTCCCACACAAACTAAAATACTCCTCTGAAAAAATCTACCCCTGACATTTGTTCAGTTATTTTAGTAGGAGGGAGTCAAGAGCACAACTAAAAATGTTGTAGGGAAAGCAGTGATACGCATACAAAACACCTTCCATTGATTTCCTATGCATGGGATCTATGTCAGCAGGCAAGAGAGGGAGGATGGAGTAGAGGGGTTACCGTGTACCATTTTTGTTCATGCTGTTCATCCATTTGTCAAGCTCTTCCATTTCTATCTCCATAACAGAGGGCGTGTCTTCTTCAAAAATAGGACTTGAGAGAAGAGAGGGGGAAAAAAATTACACAAAATGCTTAATTCAAACAACTTACAGTGCAGTGATTTTGTATGACTCTCCTGTAATTCCAGACACATGTGTTTACTCTGGAGAGGAGCCACCCTAGCCCAGTAATCTGAGGAGATGTCAGCCCACGGGGTGTGAACCAAGGGGTCACAAACAGATGCGAGGGAGTGGCACTGAGATGCCAGTCCTGGGCAGAGGCAGGACCAGCTGAGGCATAGCACACAGGGACATGCCAGAGCACAGGATCATTGCAGCTTCTTGAAAACTGTCCCTGCTGTAAATAGAAAACTAAAAAAAAATAAGAGAGTTTGTCCCTGCCCTCCTGGAACACATGACAGAAGTGCCATTTCTCCAGTGCTAAAAGCTGAAGGCCTAAAGTTTCTTCATAGCTGTGAGTGACATTTGCAGTGACTTCAAAAGGAAAGGTCATGAGAGTTGTGTTTATTTAAATGCCTCTGCTTAGCTTCCTTTTGCTTATCAGTCCTGCAGTCATATGATAGAAAATATGTTTTCAGCAAAAAAAACAAACTTTTTTTTTCTCATAGAGCCAATTAGTGAACTTTCAGCATTGATTAGCAAGATGGAGGTCAATAAAAGGCAACAATAAAAGTTATGACTCTGAGAAGAGCCACAGAGCTTCTGTCTTGTTTTCTAAGGCATTGCTCCTGTGGCAACCAGGCAAGCCTTTCTGCCTCACCTCTGAGTAAGAAGATAAACTTGAAAAACAGGGGAGCAAGACACAGAGCTTATTCTGAATAGCAAAAGCCTGTGATGAGCCTGGGAACTGATCCCCTTTGCTCATGGGGCACCTTGTACCACTTGTGGTTGATAGAGCAGGAGGTGCCTGAGAGCAGGCTCAGCGAGGGCTGTGGGCTGTGGGTGTCTGGGGGCAGCCCTTGCCTCAGCCGCCACTAACTCTTGTTCTCCCACTCCAGTCTTACACTTCAGCCACATACTGAAGTCACACTTTATCCACCTGTTGAGATTGCTGGTTCAATCGATGGCAAAAAGTAATGGTGTTTAGTGCAAAGCTAAATTAAAAGAGGAAGTGAAGGAGACAAAGGTTAGAATAAAAGAAATTTTTTAAAAATAATAATATTCATAAAATTTACCTTTTTACATTTTCACTTCCCAGCTCATCTGGAAAAGAAGAAAGTTGATGTTCATAGTTCATCATGATATTTACCCTTTGTATTTACAGGGTCCAGACTGCATACAAGCCTTGAATATGGTCAAGTAAAACAGGCTGCATTTTCAAAAGGCATAAAAACTAAATTGCAGATGAAAGACAAAACATCTTATCCTGTTTGCAATTTTCAGAGGAACTCATTCTTTTGAATTTAAAAGCATCACATTATTAGCTCAGCCATGCTGGGAGGAAGCCCAGTGTTGGTGTTGCAGTGGGCAGGACGGGGAAGATGCACACTTCCTTCAGCAAAACAGATGTGCTGAGGGAAATGCTATCATGAAAAGGAACCACTTCTGCAAAAAAAGATGTTTACTAGAAACATTGCTACAGCTCTCACTTGGGCAATTCAGCTCTCTCTGGGGAGTCTGGGAGCTGCTCATGGGGAGAAGGGTGGGAGGGAGTTGGACTGCATGGCAGATTAGATCTCAGTTAGGCAAATGAAGCTGAACTAGCCAGATGTCAAAAGGGATTCAATCTATTTATACTCCAAGACAAAGTAAAAATGGAGGGGGGGGAAATGGTGCCACAGATATAATTCTGATAAACATCTTCATCTCCAGGAATCAAGTGACTGAAAAACCTGTCTTAAATCACTTTATTTTTAATTCATTGTTGCCAGCGGGAACAACCTCCCAGTTGTTCCAGCACATTCCCAGACTGCAGAGCCACCCCAGAACCACAGAGCCATCTGCCCCAGCCTTCAGGATGCACAAAATCCCAGGCTGGCACAGGGCATGAGATCCTAAGATTGTGTTTCTGAAAGGTACCACATTTCCTAACCCTCTGAAGAGTGTACTTGCATTTCAATCATCCAGAAATAGGCAGGCAACTGGGTGCCTGGGTGCAAATTCATAGTTTGTTAGAGGGAAACCCAGTGATCAGACAAATGCAACCCAAAAGTGCCCTGAAAACTTGACTTTAAATCTGTATTGAGTATGGTGCACTGCCTGCATGCTGATGAGCTGACAGCTGCACTCTGACCCTGTCGATACACTGGTACAACCATCTCAGATTTTCACTTACCAACTATGTGGTTTTGTTATGACACCTCAGTTTGTTCTCCTGTGGTTTGACACTCCAAGTTACCAATTCCTTTGTTAACAGATCATAGCACCTTCCTGAAGCACTGCTCACCCTACTGCAGCACCCAGGCAGTCTGACCTAGCTCATTTGCTGTGATGTTTTCATAACAGCCTCTACCCTATGGAATCAGGATTCCTTAAAATGATTTTTCTTGTTCTTATTTTACTGAAGCTCCAAGCAGTTTTACCTTGTAGGCACTATGGGCAGTAGAAGCATTAATTTCACCTTGCCTAAAGTTGTTGAGCATAAAGACAGAACAAGCATCTGCAGCCACAGTTGCATCCCTGAGCATTCTCAGATTTCCAGGAGCCAGAGTTGATTCCAGGGCTCCCATGGGTGTGGCAGCATGAGCAGGAGGTGCCAAGAAGCAGAAGTAGCTCCTGCCCAAGGAGAGGTGTGTGACCAGGTACTGCTGGCTGGGGAGGATCCCTGTCTTACTTGGCAAACATGCAACTACAGTCAGAGAAGGGCATCCTAAATGTGGTACCCTTTGCCTCAAATTATTGCTCTGTTAATGTTGAACACATCCTAGAAACAGCCTGATTATGCACAAGAAGACAAACTTACCTTGCTTGGACTTTTTCCTTTTATGATGCATTACAAAAAATGTGATCAACAAAATCAGCAGGACTAGCAGTGCCACAGGGACAACATATATCAAGATAGACTGTTCTGCTGCTTCCAGGCTGTCCTCATCGTTCACAGCATTCAGTTCAGTACTTGGAGAGCTCTGTGTATCAAAGCTGCTTTCAGCAGTGCTTGCAGTTACAAGTACTGGCTCGTGGTCATCCACGGTTGAAGGACCCGTAGCAGGAAGATGTGTTGCTGCAAAAGTGGGTAATATCATCGATCCATCTCCTGATCCATCGTTTCCAGGGTCTGTCAAATATATGAGGACAACTTAACATTTAAGGGTTTCATTAGTATTATCAGTGAGCCACAGTGTACAACTTAGTATTTACTTCCCATTTGATGTATTAAAAAAAAAAAACAACAGATGCCCCATACACACAGATTGGAAGTCTTGGGCATTGGATGTAAAACTAGATCTCAACTTTATCACAAAATCTTACCAGTCATGACCACGTTCTTCAGCTGACTTTTACTGGGACACGTCAGCATGTGTCATCTTCTGCACACAGCTGCCTTGCACAAACAGACTTCTTTTGCTGCAGGTTGGCATCTGGTCTTGCTCGCATGAGAAATTATTTTGCTTCTCAGTAAACCACACCAGCCTGTTTTGGTTCTCAGTCTTGGCCTGACATATGTCCCTCCCCTTATCCAAGGAGGTAGGTACTGCCTTCAGGGAGACCACTATCCCTGGTTCACCAGTGCCTTTAGTTCATTCATCTCCCTGTTTCTGTACCTTTCTCAAATTTGTTAAATTTGTCTCACTGTGAAAAACAGAGTTGGTGAAGGAAGTCTGAAGCATGCAAAAGCTGCCGACTGCCCCATCTGCGTGGACTAGAAGAGGTGGCAGTAACACGGGGACCTCACTGCATATAGGACCAATGAACTGTTCCTCTGACTGATTCTGCAGGCTGGCTGAAGGAGTGTGTGGCAAAGCATCAGTGCTGGATATTCCCCATGAGTGCTAAGACTGGGGGTTTTGAACTTTGATCTCAGTTCTGGTTTCAATTATCACACATTTCACAAGAAAAGGGGCTAAAATTGGCTGCGTAGGTAATAGTGAAACAAGTGCTTTTTGTGTGTTTATGTAAGAGTCTATTGACTGTCACAGAGTTTAAAAGCTTTAAAGAAGTACAGCAAATTCTGGGCTGCTACTGTATTCTATGCAGATGCCAAAAATCCTGTTGTAGCCAAAGGTGCAAGAATCAGCCTTTAGATAAATTACAACAGAAAAGCCTTCAATGATTTTCTTGGCATGAAATTAAATGATGGGAGTTTTGTGTTATCTGCCCTTTCAGATACAATACTAGCATGGTGCACATCTCATTGTATGCAATAAAGCAGGATGGAATTTTTTGACTTTTGCAATTACATGTTCCTCCTCATTCTTGCAAAGTGCTGGGCAGCCAGAGTTTCCACAAGAGTTAGCAAGAGCTTAAGGTTTTCAGGACCTCAGTGCTGGCATTTCCAATCTCACAGGACTGGAACCACAAGTACTTAGCATTTTAAATGCTTTTGTAAACACATTAATCTTCATAATGGCCCTGAGAGATGAGCAGTTATCATCTCCATTTTACAAATGAGGAATCAGAAGGACAGGGATGCTGTCTTTCCCAGGGGTGCCAAGTGAGAGAGAAAAACTGGGATTAGAGCGCTATCTCTTGCTTAATCCACTCTGCAGCATCTCCTCTCCCACCAGATTTATCTCAAAGAGAAGATGAGTATTTCATGAGACCCTATTCAAGGAAACCCAATTTCAGATGAATAAAATTATTTGAGTGTGACAGCAGTGTTTTATCTAGATTTTTGTGCCGCACGTATCGCACAGGCATTTGATTGTTTTCATCCTTTCCTAAAAACTAGGAAAGAATTTGAATACTTAATGTAATACTGTGAAGGTCACCAGACTCCTGCAGCACAATAGGACAATGAAAATGATAGCTCTTCTGGGGCAAAGCACTTTGTATCAATAGTGTCTCTGTCTCTTCTGTATTTAGTATTTCAGTCAAGAGCAAAACCCTATCTCTGCCTCCCTTTGCAGGTAACGACCCCCTTAGGTGTGTGCTGCTCCATCCCTTCCCGTGATCTGCTGCCTGTTCTTAATCTTATTCCAGAGGACAGGAGGGAGAGCTCCTCTCCCTTATTAGTTTGGCCATTTGACTTTTCTTTTCCAAGGCAGTTTGTGGCTCCCAGCGGCTGCAGCCAGTCCATCTCTATGGCTGTTGAGCAGGGCGGCGAGGCAGCGCGGGAGGTGTCGGTGCTGCGGGCTGTGACATGATGGACTGCGCCGCGGGCAGAGCTGATGGCCTGCTGCAGCCTCACTGAGCCTCTTCCATGACCTTGCTTCGTTTTCCTCCTCTAGCCATTGCCCTTGAAACCCATCGCCTGCCACATTTGATATATCGAGAGGGACAAGCCTGTTGCTTAAAATAGGGAAGGGTGCGGAGAAAATACCTTACTTTTCATTTATTCGTAGAGTTAAAATGGATTTTTCAAATGTCTAAAGCATGGTGTGGCTTTAAAGCAAAGCAAACAGTCACACCTCATTAACTGCAGTGATAAACTTTCAGCTGCAGAGTATGCTGTGCTTGATTTTCCCAGTATCTCTGCCACTTTTCCTGGTTTTGAACTATAAGGCAGACTTCAAATCATTTGTCTCTGAGTGAAATAGAATTACCTTCTCTAGTCTCTAGGCAAAGAAAATGGCAAATCACAGGGAGTGACCTTCCTGCCATGTATTTTTTTCACTTTGCATAATTCCGGGGACAAAACAGCATCTCTCTGGGAACACCATTTCCTCTTACAGAGATCTCTCTCTGAGTGAATTAAATACATCTTTCAGCAGAAGGGCAGCCAATTGCACAATGTTCTTGCAAGGATATTGCTCTTATTTCCTGCATTTTACCTGCTGCCTCAACACATCCCGCTCCCCCATCGCCTCTGAGGAACAGAGCTCAGCCTCAAGGGATGCCTCACCTGCCACCCAGCAGTTGCTCTCGCTCTCGGGCCACCCACACATCACCCTTTTTACAGAGTAGGAAAGCACAGCCTGCACCTGGGCTGGCCCAGAGGCTTGCATCAGGGAAGGAGCTGTGCCTCCAGCCCAGCAGGGAAGTCGGGCTCAGGCTTCCTGGTGCAGCTGTAGTGCCTGCCACAGCCACCCACCCCGTGAGATGCAGGTGGTTGACCTCAAGACCTCAAGTTGCTATTTGTCGTAGTGTTTCAATTTGAAGTGCTCAAAATAGCAAGTGGGCTGTGCTGCAGCTGGCCCGGGTGGCTCTTTGGTGGGGTGGATTAAAGTTGGGCATTACAGGGTTTGGAGCAGGGCAGAAAAACATCTGAAAGATGGAGATTTTGTGAGGTGCTGTTCAAACATTTTCTCCGTGCCAGATTTACAGTGATAATTCATACCATGAACTCTCTTGTCAGCTGTGGTTTCATCTTGCAGACAACTACTAGCTCCCTGCAAATGGGAATCTTACAGCAATACAGCATGACATTCAGGATGGAAAAGCAAGGCCAGTGGAGTGTAACAAAGAGCAAGTCACGTGTGACCATAGAGATATCTCCTTGACTTTGCAAAGCCTGTGCCCTTTCTCTTATTGAGCTCAGCCTTATGCTGTTGGCTACATTCCAACATCCATATACGCATCCCTCTGCACATCTTGTCCAAGGAGCAAATACTCGTACAACAACCACATGGGCTTCACCTTTGTCTGGACCACCTGGACCAGAATGCTGGTGACTTCTTCCTGTGTTAAGGGAAGTGGATGGGAACACACCACAGCTTCAGCCCAGCCTGTATTGCCACTTCCCATGCTTTCAAGAGAACAAGGTAGAGGGGCTGGCATGCAGCTGCAATCCACCCTGGTGGGAAGGTGGGCACAGCTGGAAGTGGAAGCTAAGGAGCTGGAGCTGAAAGTCAGGGAGTTCTCAGAGTTCCCTAGTTAAGGTATGAGAGAATCTAGAACTCAAGGGACCAAAATACTTGAGCAAGCACTAGTAGCATCTCAAAAAGTGTTCAATTAACAGTTCTTACAAATTATGAAAAAGCTATGGCCCTGTATGCAGATACCATGGTATAAGGTATTACTCAATATTTTTTACTTTAAAAATATGCTTGGATCACTGATAGACTTTGATTGAGTTTTGGAGGTGCTCCCAAATGTGCTTTTCGTGGGACACAGAGGTAGTTGAATATACCAAGCGGTTTTACAGATAGGAGTCCAAAAAATTATGTCTCAATCAAACAAACAATATTTCTGTTGTTGCAGCATTTCTACCTCTGTGCTGCAGCACTCAGAGGTGGTGATATGGGCTTCCTGATGAAGTAAGCAGGCAAACAGGTTTCTGAATTCACTTGGATGTGAGGCAAAGGAAAATAGCAAAGGAAAACAGCTGGCAGTCAGCACATTCAGTTTTGTTGTAGAACCATCAGTCTCTCTGCTGCCTTACCATCAGACTCAAGGACTGGGTTCTCTCAAGGGAATTTTTCAAATTACACCAGAGTGCCTACTGACAGAAGAAAAAGCAACAAGCTAGAGAAAAAGCAAGAGCTATGTCAGTGGGATAGCTAGGCTTATTTGTCTGAAAGGAAAATTTTTATTTCTCCAAACTTTCCCATAAGCTATAAAAATGCAGTGAAAGGAAGGCCCACGAGAAGGTGACAGAACAAGAAAAGGCTATAAAGCTGGAATGAAGTTACCATATCCTATATCATTCTGCTCCATGCACACATTCTGTTGGTGGTGTAGTCATACCACTCCACACGGTCTGTATGATCCTCTGGTGTATTGCTTGGCTCATCCCTGCACTGCTCCTCTCTCCACATTTCAGGTTGCTGTAAGAAAGGCTGTTCCTCACCATGGCCAGGGCTTGCCCAGCTGCCTGTTGTGGCAGGTCTTGCCTGTCAGTCTGGCTAGAAGAGGAATCCTTAAAAGCCTGCAGGCTAGCTGTTGGGAGCACACACTGTTCTGATGAGGGAGCGCAAGCATTTCAGGGTTGCTAATCTGTAGACAAGATCCTATTAAAACGAGGTGCTTAGAAAGCGTTATCTAGGTATAACCAGAAAGAGGAAACAACTGTTTAAGCTCATTTATACAAGATGGAAACTGCTTTTCCTCACTGTGTTTCTATCCAGCTGAAGTGCTGCATTAACAGGCAGTGTTGCAAATTCAGCCACACATCTTAGAGTCAAACTGTGAACCTGTAGTCTTATTGCTCACCCTGAGTCCTGCAGGCTTTCCAGACCAATTTATGTATTTATTTGCTTCTACTTAATCTGATGGCCTTCTAGGTCTGCATCTGTGGTACTCCTGCGACCTCACTGTGATGCAAATCTCTCAGTGCTCCTTGCTCTCAGGAGGACCCTGAAATTAAAGATTCAAAAGCTCTGGAGGCTTTCCAGTTATCATAAAAACTCTTGAGGGAAAAGAGACTGGTGTCACTGACTGAAAATTAGTATACAATCTTGCTGATGCAAATGAGAGTTTTTCTGAAATGTCCCTGAAGGAGCTGAATAAAACAGTGAATATTTGTGTGTGGCTAAAATGGAGGAATGGTAGCAAATATATAGGAGGGGTTGATGTGTTCAGTAGAAAGGATTTTTCATCTGCTTTTCAGGGCACTGTACTTTGGAAAGAGAAAATGTAGCAAATCCTCATTTCTTACATTGTTGCTTTGCTAGAAAAATTTAACAGGTGATTGTAACAGGTTCAATCCCATTCTCAGTTCATTACTCCAGGGGGGAACAGGTCAAAATTATTACTGCAGCCTAAAAGACACTTTTCTGCCAATGAGAGAGTCACTGGCTGTGCTATAAGCTGGTGAATATCTGGATCTTTGATAGTTGTGTTTCTTTGAATGACAATTCAAAACAATAGCACAGAGACAGACAAAATAGAGCACTGCCTGCAACCACCCCAGCTCTTCCACGTGGTGATATCAGATGTTTTACTGTTCCTCTCCCTCACACATTTTCTTGCTCCCCATGTCAGGCCACTTATGCTGTAATTTCCCACCTGTTTCACTGAACACAGTGGGAGATGGCCTAGCCTGGGAAATGACTCCAGGTCAGAGCATGTTCCTATGAGCTATAGTAAGGGTCTTAATACTTGTTACTAGGGTCAGCCACACAGCTAGGTAGGTCTTCAGGGCTGCTGCAAGGCTGAGCAGTGAGTACCATCCCCTACAGCAGAGATGATGCCCTACACTGTTACCTGTAGGGCTTCCTGACTGCATTAAAGCAGGGGAAGGGAACTGGTGCAAACCCCAACATCCCCTCAGCATGGAGCTGGGAGAAGGCCAGCATCCAGAGCTGAGACCTCAGGAATGCTCTTAGAGCTACTGGATTAGAGTGATTATAGCATCACAGGGAGAAAACCATCCATAAATCATAATCCAAGTGGCAAGGCTAGGCTTTTACAAGGTTCTGGCATGGTATGGGAACAGGACTTATAAAGACTTTAATCTGTCTGTGCTGCAAGATTTAATCATACTCTGTTTGCCTATTTTCTGAATGGTCTCTAGACAGTAGACTGCTTAAAAGGTGAAGACTGTGTCTGGCAAAAGGTGAAAAAGCTCCCTTAAAGGTCCTGCCCTGTTTATCTGTGAGCAAGGAAGGGTGAGAGCAAAGGATCTCCCTGAGAGGCTGCCCTCAGCAGAGGGGCTCCTGACCCACCAGTGCCTGTGGGGTACACAAGCCCTACATAAACTTTCCCCCACCAGTTTAATTTCCCCGCCAAGGCTCAGGTTCACAACTTCCCCATCCCACTCACAGTCAGAGTAAGCCCCCAGGTACATTTTGGAGCTGGCTGAATAAGCAAAAACCATGTGGAGCAAAGGTGGGTGCTCTCCTCCCCTTCCTCTATGGCTGCAGATTGGTCACCAGTTTCATTTCCCCCCCAAGGCTCAGGTTCACAGCTTCCCCGTCCCACTCACAGTCAGAGTAACCCCCAGGTACATTTTGGAGCTGGCTGAATAAGCAAAAACCGCCTTTGTATGTGGAGCAAAGGTGGGTGCTCTTCTCCCCTTCCTCTATGGCTGCAGATTGGCTCCATAGAGTCAGAGCTGACAGGGCTTGGGAAGGGCTCTGGCAGGACTGACTCACTCCCCAAGAGGAACTGTTCCAAAATCAGCCAGAATTTAAAGGTGGACCTACTGGTAGGAAGTGGGGAGTGTGGGGAGTCACACACCTGGTGTGTGACATCTGTCTGGCGCTTCCTGCAGCCCCTAATGCCCACTGCAGAGAAGAGCAGGGTGCACCCAGTCATGAACTGAGGGACCCCAGGCTCAGATCTCCCCCCTGCCCCATGGGGACGTGGTGATGAAATAGCAGCTCTCAGAACCCTGCACATCAGCTGGAGAAGCCTGATCACTCTGCCTTGCCTTCATGCCTTCATTGTACTCCTCCATATCCCTGGGATCTCTGTTTAGCTCTGTCCATGGCAGGATTTTTGTTCCTCTGACTGCTTTGATTCTGAGCTACACTCAGTGCTTGCAGCATATTTTCCTGACATGTCTGCAGTGCAGCAGGGCTGTAGTAAGACAGCCAAACCCAAACCATTTTATACCTCACTTAGCTCGCTCGTACAGTTAAGCAAGTCTCCTCAGTGCAAGCAGCTCAGCAGCACGCCAGGAGCCTGCAGCCCAGCTCTGCACCCTGCTCAGAGTACTGTTTTTCAGGGAAAGAGCACTCACACTGAAACACTGATTCCAGCAGTGCATTTTAGGACATTAAGAGAAGTCCAGTGATATCTGGGAGTGACCATCTTCTTTCCCTGCTTTCTGTAGAGCTCCTGCTCACTACAGCAGCACAGAGGCAGCAAACATTTCTAGTCCATACCAAGGCTTTTTGGCAGGGATTTGTTTGACCCCAAAAGGCTTACAAGCACTACCTCAGCAAGGTTTCCCTGCAAGAGCTGTCTGTCATGTTCAGCTGCTGGCTGCCAAAATGCCAGTGGAACCAATGACCCCTGCAAACAGGCGAGTGTCTCTGCAACAACACCCCAGTGCTCCAGCGTTTTGTCACAAGCTGCTTTTCCATTCATGGTTCTTTTCTTCAGAAGCTCAGAACCTAAATCCATGGGGCTGGCCACTTTGTTCTGCAGCTGAGAGTTCAAAATATTTGTCTCCGGAACCGGCTGTTCCTTTGTTAAACCAGTTTCAGGGCACCGGGACTGCGGAAATCGGCAGCCACCTTTTGAATGGAAGCGGTGCTTTGCCTTTAACTTTGCTATCAAACACTGATGGTATGGGTGTGGGGTTTAAAAAAGTTCAAAAACTGACTAAAATTAGGAGCAAAATGCCTGATGGTCAGCATGAAAACTCCGGTTCTCTACACACCTGCAATTTAGAAAAAGTTTGCGATTGTAGGATTTGTTTGCTGCTGTTCGGGGATAGGTCTAAGTGAAAAAAGTCAAAGCTCTGAAAAAAAGAGGGAACAGAGAACAGAGAGGGTAAACACAGCAAAAAGCAGCAGAGAGCAAGTCCCCACAGATCTCCTCCCTGTGCTCACTTCGGAGGGTGTTGCCCTCCAACCTGGTCCCATTGCTGCCGGCAAGACACGCGGTCCCACCTGGGCGGGCGAAAGGCGCTTCCGTACTCACCAGAGGCGGCAGATGCTGAGGCCAGCGCCAGGGCCGAGAGCAGGGGGATGAGGCCGGGGCCCCGCATGCTGCCCCGGCAGCGCTGCCAGCCGAGGGGCGCTCCGGCAGCCTCCCTGCTGCACCCGAGCATCTACATTTCCTGCTTCCTGCCGGGGAGCATCTGAGCTGCATTTCTTCAGGAGATGGACTCTCTTTGATGGGTTTTAGGAAGTGATGTAATTCCGTCTGGGCCTGTCAAGCGAGCAATGATTGCAAAAGAAAGAAGAAGAAAAAAAAAACAGAAGTTGCTCTTCAGGCACACACTTGACTGAGACACCTTTTTGCTGTAGGTGAGAGAGCTCCCACACTCTTCCTCTCCTTTCACTCCTGACTTTATTACCTTCTATCTTCATCTACACACAGTGCCATAGATCATACAAATCAGACACAAAACTTACAGATGTATGTAAGCAGGAAGGTTTTATGTCACTTTTCAGGGTGATTAAGCAAGAAAATGTCAATAGTGCCTCCCCTCCTGCCTTGGTTTTCAAGCTGTAATTCTCCCCCACATAGGGGTGAGAGACTGCATGCATTTACAGTCCCAAAAGGCAGCCCCCAAGTGGGCTGTCTTCAGCAAATGGGATGAATGGCTGGCATTAGGAGCCTACAACTGAATATTCTGGGCTGGTTTGTGCAAAGGAAGAGGAAAAAGCAGAAAACCACATCATTTTTTGTTATGAGCAGGTGGTTTAGTGAGAAAGTGCTGAGGCACTGGTGTGATGATGGCTGCAGATGACAGGGGACAGAAGATTTCAGTCCCCACCAGGATGCAGGGCTGGGGGCCCACAGTGCCATGGTTGATTGAGGTGGCAAGGGGAAGGTAATCCTGACTCCCTTCCTGGCTCCTCTTTGTTTTTGCTCCCCCTTGGCAGTCTCTGTCTGGGTGTGCAGGCCTTGGCTGTTGCCCCCCCAGATGCTGCCCTGTCCTCTGTCCCACCACCCCATCTCTGTCCACACACTCAGAAACACGTAAGAGCTGGCCAGGGGCTTCCACACATTTCCTGTTCTGTGCTGCTCTGTGGGTAAATGCGATGGAGAACTTAAAAAATTAAACCAAACATTTTCAGTCTTCTTGCTATATAGGGTGGGCCTAGCCAGGGCTCAGGATCTGGATCTGGATCTAAACCAAACATGTACCCAAGCAGGGAGAGTGGTTGGACCACAGAATTGGTTGTCCCACTGTAGAAATAAGTGCTAGGTCTAAAATTAATCTCTCTGAGTTAAGGAGAGTCTGCACTCCAGCTTTTACTCTGGAGTATCCCAGCCATTTTAAATACTTGCATAAAATTTTCCAGTCGTAATGTAAGGAAAGAGGGTTGAATGGTGACTGTGCAGCAGCTTCATAGTACTTCCTCTAGACATCAGTCTGTCAAAATCTGATTTCTGGTCAGAATTTGCTGAGTTCTGGAATTTGTCAAAGCTGGTGATTCTTTCTGTTCAGATTGGTGGGGAGTGATCCATTGCTGCTCTGCTTCTCCAGCTAATACTTTTTCTTAACACACTGATGCTTTTATAGGTCATCAGTTTTAGGTTATTTAGCTTGAGTAGCTGAGAAATAGGTCAGTGATTCATTTAATGACCAGCTTGTTGATAGATTTAAGCTCCTTGAATGATACAGTTAACTTAAAATCTGAACTGGTTTCTTAGTATTGGCAATGTATGTATGTGATAAAATAGTGGGGGGAAAAGCAAAGTTGCAACATTTGCACCTACAAGTAGATAAAGAGGAGCTCTGAGTTTTGAAGCCAGTACACTGACTAACAAATCAAATATTTCTAGGAGACATTCTTTAATATGATGTCATAGTCATACACAGTAACACTTACCAGACACAAGTGTCAGAGGTGAAACTTGCCAATACTTTTAAGAATTTTCCATTAAAAAATGACAGAAACTCCAAGGATTAGTAATAGTGCCTAACTGACAGACTGTTTGAATGATGGAAGTCCAGAAATTGAGGCTACCCATCTGTACTCAGAGGTGATTTTGTCTAGCCTGGCAATAGGAAAGCTGGTAATGGGCTGGTGGCCAGCAAAGGCAAAGCCTGTCTATGTTTTCAGGAGCAGAATCTCAGATTCCAAGGCTGTCACTGTTGTCCATCCTCAGCTTTTCTTGAACTTTAGTCAGCAGTAGGCAAAGTCTTGTTATTTAACAGAATTTTTGTTGCTTTAATGTACAGAAAAGGTGTGCTGTACTCCTTTCTATTTCTTGCCCATTTCCTTCCCAGCTTTGACACTCTAATACCACATGGGCTGCAAACATGTTCCTCTGATTTATCCTGCCCTGCATATTTGTGGTTTTGCCCCGTTCTGTAGACTCAGCCCAGTTCACTCATCCATTACAAAAACATAAACCTAGAGAGAGAAACTGGAAGGGAAAAGAGGAAAGGATTTGTGTTTGGTTTGTATCTTTGCTCCATTTTTACACCATATTTCTAATTTAAAGAACTATATACTTTTCTCTTTCCCGTTTCAGTCTTTCTACATAGGTTGTAGCATTTCCCCTCAAGTTCCCATCAACTATTATTGACAAATATTTGGCTAACAACTCATCACTGGCCCTTGAAAGCAAGATAGCCATCTACTGCTGTGTACACAAGTATGACTTCTAAGGCAAATAAAAGTACAGGTAATGTGACTCTTGGCCACAGTACCTTTTAATGAAGATTTTTGAGGCATACAAAGGTGGTTGGGAATGCATTTGACATGCATTTTTTTTAAATTGTAGAGAAGGAGGGATGAGGTATTTTGGATGCTGGCCAATTAGACTCTCAGGCAAGGGCAGTTACCTCGGTCCATGCCCAGCAGCATTGGGATTGTGATCCCCTGAGTACTCCCAGCAGGCTCCCTTTGGCCTGCCTGGGAAGCAAGGTTGGTACCTTTGCCTTGGTTGTTGTCTTCAGCCTCATGTGTCTCTCCTCATAGCTGAAATACAGAAACCAAAAGCTGTAGTGACAACTTTGCTGCAAAACAAACTTGTGCATTTGGAAACCCATGTAGCTTCAGTCATGGATGGTTTTGTAAGAGGGGCAGATCGCATCTGACAATTTCATGGGCCTTAGTGCATTTTCTAGGATCCACAATGCACCTTAGCAAAAGGAAGTGTCTTTTCACAAGTTAAACCGCTAAATTTTCAGGACGCTTACAATGTATGTTACTCATCTGGAAACATTTGTACAAGTTCAGTGTTACTGTTTCATTGGTTTTTAGAGTGTAAAGGGCAGTTCTGAGCACAAAGCTAGTCTGTTTGCTGATGTTGTTCCCTAGCAGAGAAGGATTTGCATCACTGAGATTACAGGATATCATCAGAGTGACATTTTCAGAAAAACAGAAATGTATTGCAATGCTGCAGCCGCTTGGCTGACACTCTTCTAGTTCCTTTTTCCTGTGAGAACAACAACAGCTAAACTTGCAAGTGATGTGGCAATCTGATGGTTAGTTACAGGGCTTTTATTACAAACCTGCTAGTACAGCTTGTCTGCTGCAGTCCTGAGCAGCTAATCCACCTGCTCTGAAGTGCAGTCAGGGGCCAGAGCCAGCCAGGTTCTGCTACTCCCTTAATGACTTGTTTCTGCCTCTGACAGATGTTGAGAAAGGATGGATAAAATTTTCCCTCAAGTTTCTGTGGAAGAATGGAAAATAACCATGTATTGCAATTCACTGCAACATTTTAAAAAGAAACAAACACCAAAGCAAAAGAGTTTGTGCAAAGCCCACAGGGATCTTCTTGAGTCAGCTGCAATGGCACTTCTGTGGGCTGCTGAGGTCAGATTTGCAGAATCAAGGCTGAAATCCATCCTAGTGCAGAAATCTCATGGGAATCTGGAGCCCCATCCACAGTTGCACTTGTTTCAGAGCAAGCAATGTCTGACTGAGTTGCAGATGACAAAGCTCTCTTTCCAACAAATTCAAATCTAGATTGTATGAAAGGAGAAGTTGCATTTTATTTCAGCCAGAGAGGTGCTTCAGGAAAAGTTTTCGATCTTTCTGAAACCAATGCCACCAGTATAAATTAGAACAAAGATTAGAACAATGACATGTTATCCCTAACAACTAGGACAATGTAATAAAACTAAAATGAGAATGACAATAAAAGCATAAAAACTGCCAGTTTTAAGAATCTCTTTGCTTAACTGAACTTGTAATTGTCTTTTATTTTCTTTTTCTTTTTCTTTTTTTTTTTCTCCACATACATAACACAGGCTGTTATTTCGTGCTGACAATATTTTGGAGGCTTCAAAAGGAACAGAAATAAAATACAAGACTAAAATTGAAAACATCCAGATGTTTGCATCTACAAAATTATACTTGAAAATATTCAGATGTTTGCATCTAAGTTGCCTTTAACAAAATAAAAAATGGGTTCAAATAAAGACTTCTAAGATTGAAAATCTCTGAAATGGAAGAGGCCTCAGGGTGCATTGAGAGCATGGGCAGATTTATATTGAAGTGTAGCTGGACACTTGGTTTCTACTAATTTTTGGGAAAGGAGTACATGGATTATACATTTTGCACATGCCTAAATAACTTGTGAATTATGTAAATTACTAAAATAAATGATGCCTTCATTCTGCTGTAGCACTGACTGTGTATTGAAAGATGTGTCCTCCTGGAAGCTCAGCTTTCCCTCAGGCAAAATCCGCAGCTGGAGCTGCACTTCCTAAAGGACAATGTCTGGTCAGCAAAGTCGTCTTGTTATTTGACCACAAGAGAGACACAATTACTAGCTGATGTAGGTAGTCCCCAGCAGAGCTTTCTCTAGCCTTGTGGGGATTCACCCATGAAATCCTTCACACAACAACCTTCCTAGACTCCCATCCTTGAAGTGTAGGTGGGACTCCATGAGGTCTATCTTTGTCTCAATGCAGGTGGGTGAAGGTGGGATGAACACTCCAAAGTACAGCTTTAGGGTTTGTTTTTTTTTAAAGCCTGCACTTACCTCAATGCCACCAGCTTCATATTCCTTTTGGTAGCTAAATAATTAGTGCTTTCTCCTAACTATGCAACTTCAGAGTGCTCCTGGGCTCCAACAGTGGTTGTACCCTTTTCTGCCCCCAAAATTGTCTGTTTTAACAGGGAAAACCCAGGTTTTTGGGCCAGGATGCTGTCCCTCACTTATTT